GGTATGGTAAAAACTCACCATCCATTTAGTGCTAATGGATGGTAATGATTATGGGTTCTCTTGTTAAAGCTAATGATGTAAAAAATGTTTTCATATTTTGAATGGCTCAATTGAAAATGATAGAACTAAAAGCACATAGCAAAGAAAAGAAGAATGACAGGAGATAAACAATAGAAAGACAAATCCTAAGCCTCACTTCTCTATTCAGTCATGAGTGACACAGCATGTTACCAAATCCGCACGTTTTGGCAGCCATTTAAATCTGACTGACAGTTCCTTACAACTGGCTCAACAGCTTTTAAGAAATTTTGCTTTCCAGACTTTTGGAATAATTTTGATAGGATCTTTACTACTATGTATGAATGTTTATTAGCATTGTTTATAATGTTATTTATAATTGCCCCCAAGTGGAAGCAAGTGTTTGAGAAACAACAAATAAAATGGCAATAAACCCATATGTAAAATGGACTATTACTCATTATTAAGAGGTAAATGTAGTAGTACAAATGAGCATTAAGCATTGTGTTAAATAAAATGAATCCGTACAAACAACTAAATGTTATGTCAGTCTGTTTATATGAACCGTCTAGGTAAGCAAATCCACGGCACAGTAAGTTCATGGTCGTCTAGAGCTGAAGGAAGTTGTGAGGTGGGAAGGACATTTAATGACTGGGGGAATTCATTCAGTGATAGTGAAAAGTTCTGAAATTAGTTGTGACAGAGTTTAATGTATATATTGTATGCTTATGTGCACACATATACATATATATATAATAATACTGTACTCTTTATGTGGGTAAATTGTATGGCCTGTGACTTAGGCATCACTAGAGCCATTTGAACTATTTATATCACCAGAGGCAGTAATAACCTGAATGCTTAAAGCTTGAAAATGTATGTTGTGCGGGAGGTAAAAAGCCAAAGGTGTATTCTATAATGTATATCCAAATGAGAGCATTCCATGAAAAACTGTCACAATTTGAGCGCAATGAATGTCTTCATCAGGAGACAAGATTGCCCTGTGTCTTCTGCCACTCTTGTTGCTATATCGCTTCTGCCGTTGCCTTTCTGGAGAATTTTGGACTTGGGTAGAGCTCCGTCTGTACTGACCTGACAGGGTCTTGGAGTTCAGTCCTGTGATAGCTGAGTCCAGAGATGCCCTTGCTGGCCAGCTCCCAAGGCTGCTCTCACAGAATCAGGTGTCCCGAGGACAGCACATGCAGTGTGAGGGACTCAGGGGTCATTCTTCCTTGTTGCCATGGGTGTCTCAGCTGTCTGTCTTCCTCTAGAAAGGAAATCTCCCAGCCTGTACAGCTGAAGTCCTCCTTTTCCTGCATTAATGGCTTGGGTGACGAGTGTAGGCGAGACTGTTCCGTTGCACAGGCACCTGCTTCTTATCTGCTTTGTTTTTCATTCTTGTTAGGCCTTCAAGACTCATAGCAAAAAGTAGGACCTGACTTTCCTGATGACTCAGGCACCATAGGGGACAACAAGGAGTACAGCATGTTTCTTTGTTCTGCTGTTTATTTAAGGGACCCACCCTCAAGGGAGTCAGGGACACTTCAGGTGAACTGTTGGCCATCTTTGGCTAATGGGGTGGAAGGTAGATAGACTGGGAAATCTGCTGAGTTATGTTTCTGTTCTGCAGGCCAGAAAGGGCTCTTAACTACAGAGAAACAAACATACTGCATTTAATTCCAAATTAGGTTAGTTGTTTTTCTTATTTTCTGTTAAAAATAGTGTGTTTATGACATCTTTATTTCTCTTACATTATTTCTGCCTGGCCCTTTTATTTTCTCTAATTTTATTTCCATAACTTAACAGGTGTGTTTATCTGAAATATATTAAAGATTGAAGATCTCCTTCATGCCAGAAGCTTCAGTTATTCTGCATTTTGTTGTTTTGCTTTTGTCTCTTTTTTCCCTATTTCTGTGACAATATTCATGATAACGCCTTCTTTCTCAGAACCTCATTCTCTTGGATTTGAACTCTGCTGATGTGGGATTCGTTAGTAGTTGCTCACATTAGTTGCATGCAGGCTCACTTCTTCCCTTACCATCTTTGTTCTCACAGCAAAATGTGTGTCTCCCCACCCTCTAACTGGAGTGTTCTCACAAGGCTCTGCAGGCCAGTGCCTGACCGAACATTGCATCTTGTTTGTGGTCCAGGGAGGTGAATGGGTCCAAGGGATTCAATCACTATAGAGAATCAATAATGGTGTCTTTGAGTGTGATAAGGTGATCATCATAAAAATCAGTCATGGCTCTTTCTTCTTTCTGTGTTTTGAGACAGGATTTCTCTGTATTCTCATGGCTGTCCTAAACCTCACTCTGTAGACCAGAGATCTGCCTGCCTCTCCCTCCTGAGTGCTGGGACTAAAGGAGTGTGCCCCCGCACCAGGCAGATATGTCTCACTGTCAGTGCTCCTAAGGTTTTCAGGTTTTCAGTCACACATTTCCTTAAGCAGGTGCTTCTAGAGTTCAGAATCACTAAGGGTGATGATTTGAAGTAAGTTTTTGAACTCCTCCTCCATATCCGTAATTTAGACTCTTGAAAAATGACTCAAGGTCTCTATTTTTTATTCATAATTTTTTACTTATTTTCCCTCCCTCCTCTCCTCCCATCCCCTCCCTGTACCTCCCTTTTACCTACCCCCATCTAGTCCTCCTTCATCTCCATTCAGAAGGGGTAAGGCTTCCCATGGCAAACAACAAAGCCTGGCAAAATCAAGTAGAGGGAGGACTAAGTTCCTCTCCCCTGCATCAAGTCTGAACAAGGCATCCCAACATAGAGAATAGGTTCCAAAGAACCAGCTCATGCATCAGGGTCAGGTTCTGGTCCCACTGCAGGGGCCCCACAAAAGCTCAGCTACACAACTGTCACCCAGATGCAGAGGGCCTAGTTCAGTGCCATGCCAACTTCCTAGCTGTCAAGCACCCAAGTGTTTCCAATGTATTTTGTTGTGGCTCCATTCTTACAGGAAGCAAAGACTTCCTTTTATTACACATGACAAACCTAAAAAATTAGGATGAACCCATTGTAATTTGCAAACACACAGTATTGCCTACGATGGGAATGTGTCTCCTCCTGGGATCACAACAGCATCTTGTTATTCATCAACATCCCTGGAACAAACAAGTTTCTTTGAAAGGAAGCAGGCTCATCAGTTCTCACCATCAGTCTAATTTCATTTCCAGAAAGGTTTCAAGTCATTTGAGAGACCTGGAATCCAAAGACACTCAGGGGAATTAGTGAGAAGAAATACATAGTAAGTAGGTTAGCTAATGAGGTTATAATATTAATTTTTTTACATTGTTTAAGCTACTCCATTATGTCCTTGGGGGGCAGGAAACAGTGCCTTGAAATACTTTAGCTGCTTTGGGTTGGATTTCCTACACCCTCCACAGCTTTCTTCTTGCTCCCCTAGAGGGGGGCAACCTACAGACTCACTTGAGTAGCTGTTGGCACACCTTGCTGGCTTCTTCCTCTTGGCATTGTCATAGGAGAGAGTTCTCTCGTCCAGGCCCTTTAATCTAATGTTTAAAAAAAGAATCCAGAAAAAATGGAGTCTTTCCATACAGCAACTTTTTTTGGGCAGAGAAAAAGAATCTTGGCTCAGAAGTCAGGCTGTTGGTGGTTCATGTGTAGCTCAAGAGGAGTGGTACCACTGTCTCATTGATGGTTGTGGCTGTCTGTTGTTACCATAGCTTTGTGGGATCAGAGGCACAGCAAAGTAGTAGAACCATGTTTCTTGTGTTTTCGAAGCCTGGGGCTCAATCCCTAGTACTGACGGGGAAGAGAGAAAGATAAAATTTAAAAAGTTTGGATCTGGTATAATGTCACTAATTTTACTAATGTGGAGTCGATTTTAGTTCTGAGAATCAACTCATGAACCGCACAGTCGTAAAAATGTTGTTCTGGAAGGAAGTATATTGTATTTATTAAACGTGTGCTTCTTTACTGGTGACTACAATGCATCTGTGGGTGGCTTGATGTGCCCTAATTACTTCTAGTGTACAGATTCCATTTGCTGCTAGGTGACAGTGTAGGTGATTTGGATGCAATATTATGATCTAGGCATTACCGGATATGATCTGGCTGAGTAGGCTTCAGCTCTAGTGAATACAATTTAAACCGTTCCCTGCTGTTCTCCATCTTTCAATAGGAAAACCTTTTGAATATGCCATGACACCGTTCCTGCTGTGGGTCGGCTCCCAGTTCAGAGTGTTCCTTAGGATGTTCCCTAAATGCTCTAAGCCAGGGAGAAAAGGCAGGAAAAAATAATAGTTTAGTTAAACTCAGACAAGATTATCTCTTAAGATGTTGTGGAACCCTTGAATCCAGTATTATTTAGATGTATTTTTAATGCCAGAGACAACCTTGCAGCCGCCTCTGCAGGAGGCCTGAAACTCTCCTTAGGCTGACTTCTGGGAGGCAGTCGCATTAGATGATAAAAGATGATGCCTTTGTACCTTGGATACTGCTGGATCTTGGCAACAAGCAGTCTGTGTCTCCCTTGAGGGAGTCAGGATGCCAAGTCAGTTTTGAGGAAAGGCAAGCAGAATGATGGTGCAAGTTAAAACTGGGACCAAGATTCTCGAACTTGTATTTTCCTTCTATTCTCCAGAAGGGAAGACAGCAATCCCCTTGCATTTTTTTGTGTTTTCTTTTAACAATGTCTGCTTTCTTCATGTGATGGAAAGGTAATTTTATGTGACAGAGTACTTTGGACTCCCAGCAGAGGTCATGGTAGGTGGTCTGGATATGAAAATGGAGTCCACAAACACCAGCATCATCTGGGAGCTTGTTAGGGTATCGTAGTCTCAGGCCCTAGCCAAGAACTACGGAATCCAAGTTTTAATGAGACCCCAAGGTGTTTGTATGCATGTTAAATTTTGAGCATGCCTGGCTTAAGAATTGTGGCTATTCATTTTACTGGTCATAAGCACATTAATTTCCCTGTGTTTCTGTTTGTTTGTTTGTTTGTGTTTTCAATGCAGACCCAGAGCCTTGCACATACAATGCAACCTCTGAGTTGCATTGCCAACCCTCTCAACGTCATTACAATGGCTGTGCATTTGCCAGAATTATGACATGCTGGTGTGAAGAGGTGTTGACGTGTGGGGGTGACTGGCTTTCATGCAGCAGCCATCAATATCGGGATAAATGGTTTCTGATGGTGCTTTCCTTGCCCTGGGAGCTGGAGGACAGTGTGATCGTAGTCATGCAGTGCTGCTGTCCTGATGAATACTTCACTGCTCTGCATTTGCAAGGCAAGCGTCTTACTGTAAGTAGTAAACACTTGACTCTAGAAAAACTCCATAGGTGCTAGAAAAAGGTGGCTCTAATTACGCCTGATATACCCAGCTATTTTTTTTTATGCTGAGTTTTGTTATGCTTCTCAGCCTGATTACTTCTGGGCTCAAGTGATCCTCAGACATGTCCCACCCTGTGACAACAGTCATGCCACACCCTACCCAGTGATGTATCTGACTATTCTAATACACGATGCTTAAAAGACATGAATGAGTGTTGAAACAGATGGTGGCGTGTAGAGTCTACTAGTCTAGCTGGGACAGAGACTCTGGCGGGCATTAAAGGGTCAGATAACTACTGGTGAGGAAGCTGTACCTTGTGGTCCGTGTTCATAGCTGTCCAACTCTATGGGTAAAGAAAGATAATCAAGACTACCTCCTATTTAATGCAGGGTTAAGTGGGCCATGGAAGCACTGTTTATTTTGCTTGGTTATTTTTTCTTTTTTTCCCCCCTATGAACATTGGGGAATATGGCATTTCTTTTTTGGCTTCTTGAAGAACCTGGCTCCTGCTGATGCACACACCACAGGGTCAGGTCAGGTCTGCTGCTGATGCACACACCACAGGGTCAGGTCAGGTCTGCTGCTGATGCACACACCACAGGGTCAGGTCAGGTCTGCTGCTGTACTGGTCCTCTATTCTGTACTTTCAGATGACATTTTACATTACACTTCACGTGACACTCAATGGTCTTTCTGTAGCTCTTGGCACACAAGAATGTGCCGAGTTTGCCATGACTGCATACCAATTTCTGAAAAGTCAAATTCATGTAATAAAACAGTTTGTCAAGCTGGTGTGTTGGTGGAAAACAAGAACAAGTGAAATCATTTGTTTGGGAGGAATATTTTGGCATGACTTCTCTGAAGTTGGGTAAACATAATTTTCCCATGTACCCATCTGGGCACACAGTAGCAGTCCTTCTGCCCACAGAAGGAGTTTGCACACATTAGTCAAGTTACTAGTCTGAATTCCTAGGGCGTAGATAGATGGTTCCCATGTGTGTGTATTGTATGTATACATCATTATGTATTATATCTATGCATAGCATTGAAGGCACAGTCTCCCTCTGGGATGCTGCATTCTTTAGAGCCTCCCTGTATCTGCTTACTCCAAGGCCAGTACAGGCATCAGGCTGATAGGTATTATGTTAATACCTTCCTGACTCCTGTCATCATAGGGGGAGACCAGGTCTTCTCTGGGTAAATCTTATGGACCAAACTGCTCTCTCAAAGTCTCCCAAGGGCACAGTTATACAACAAGAGTAAAACCCTGCTGGAGGCCTTTTGCTGTGTTTGTCGCCTATTATAGTTCCTATGGGGGGGGGGACAGCTGTCTTCTCACCCTTAGTTCTCTATTTTCAACCTTCAACCCTGCTAGGTTGTAACTATCAGATGCATTGGTTTGTTTATTTCAGAAAACAAAGTGGTGTTTATCTTTTGACCCTGAGAGAGAAACACACATTATGTATGTCCTATTAAAATACTAGTGTTATAATTCTGTATCCTTACATCATGAGGTATGGTGAGGGTCAATGGCCGCTTTCGTTTCTTCTCCCGCCCTTGTTCTTGTTTCTAGTGTTTCCCAGGGAGCGTGAGAGCTGGAATACCCAGGGGAGCCTGTCTGCACATTAACCTTAGCAACACATCTGTGGTTTATGGAATGGGCTGGCCAAGGACTGCCCCATTGTAAATTCTTTTCTCCAGGATATATTTCAAAGATGCACACTACTAGATCTAGCCCTTAGCAATATTATGGGGAGTTTGTGTCAGATTGTGAAATGGATAGTATTATGCCACTTCAGTTGTGGTTTAAGCAGCAAAAGTACTTCATTTGTTATCAACTCAATCACCCTGAGTTAGAATCATGGGCCAGCCATGGTGACATGCACCTTCAACCCCAGCACTCAGTAGCCAGAGACTTGGGGATTTCTGTGAGTTCAAGGCTAGCTTGGTCTACATAACCTGTTTCAGAACAGCCATGGCTACACAGAGAGATGCTGTCTCAGTAAATAAAACAAACAAAAACAAGGCATGTGCATAATTTACTCTGGAACTTCTGGACGATGTCTGGGCCAGCCTTTCTAAAAAAAAAAAGTCTGTTTTGGATTGAGGTGGGCCATGAAGATCAAGCAATACCATCAGGGATGCCTTTGAGTACATTCGTCAGTTAGAAGTTCTAGGGCAAGAATCAGGAGAAGATATACATGTATGTGTTCTATCATTGAGCCTCTACTTGGCTCAGGGGGGTATATCTGAAGAGGAACCAGGTAGTTTAATGGAAATCATAAAACACAAACCAGAGAGAAGAGGTGCAGAACAAAACCCCATCAGCAGTTGACATGTACTCTCTGGGTGTGAAACTCAAGGTCATTCTTTAGATTCTTGCTAAATAGGGACTGAATCTCCTGGGGATGATTGTCACACATACAGAGTCACGAGGCTTGTTCCTTAGATTCTGATTCATTAGGTGAACTCTTGACTTGAGAACATTTCCAAGTGCTGCAGGTGAGTCTTATGCAGGGTAATGCAGTTAGCATAATTAATTTGTTAGGTGGTACCTTGGAGGTCTCATGAGTAATACGAGTAAAGCATAGCATCATGGTAGTTGTCTTATGGTTATATCTGCTGATGCTTTCCAATGAGGCCATTTTAATGGACCCTAGTACATTTTCCTAGGACTTTTTTTTATCAATACAGTCGGGATTAGTTGGATGATCCGAGTCTGAGATTAAACAAGCTCTCTGAACTCACTGCCTCTGTCTTCCCATGTGCCTTTCAGAACACTGGTGTATGTTTATTAGAAATTCACAGAGTAAATATGGGCCACAAAATGAACAGGAAGCACAGGCTTGGATTTACATTACAGGCATACAGTTTTTAAATATATGAGGTCTAAATTGGGCAATGGTGGTACACACCTTTAATCCCAGCACTTAGGACGAGGAGACAGAGGCAGGCAGATCTCTGAGTTTGAGGCCAGTCTGGCCTATAGAGCAAGTTCTAAGCTACATAAAGAAACCCTGTCTTGGGGCATGGGAAATATGTAGAGTCTAAAATAATTTGTTCTGTGATCAAAAGAAGTTATGTGGAAAATAAAATTCTTAGACAAGATCAACAGTAATTTGTGCATAGCAGGGTCTTGGTAAACACTTGAGGTTTTCCAACATACTGCTAAGTGGGAATTTTTGTCACCCAGAGCTAGAACTAACTAGTTTGAGGTGTTAGAGAGGAACTTGGACTAGCCTGAGCAGAACGGAGGTTTACTCATGACTTGTCTCATTGCTGAAACAACCTAAGTGACAACATGGGGAAGTGGGACCCTGGTCCAGGGAATACGATGGAGGCAGAGAGAGTTTGGTAGGAGGTAGCTGCGCACATCGTATGTCCAGGTTCAAGAAGCCGATAGCAACAGATGCTTGTGCTCATCAGTTTCCTTCTTTTCATTTCTCTAATCCTGATTATCCCTCACAGACACGCCTAGAGATGTTTCCATGATGCTCCCAAAACCCACCTAGTTGACACTCAAGATTAACCATGACAGGAGGGCTCGTCATGATATAAATGTTGCCAGATCCAAGAACAAGAGAGCATGCATGCCCAGTTCCTGTCCTAGGAAAGAACCAGACTGATCAGACTCCTCTGTCCCTCCGTTTGCTATAGAGTGACAACCCTGCAGTACCTGGGTAGCTCATGCATTCACTCCCTTGGCAGATGTCACAGTTTCAATTCCAGACTCTTAGAGGAGGAAATGTGACCTGCCTGACTGAGTCAGTGTGCACACTGGGCTTCAAGGCTAGCTAGAAGGTCCCCTGTGCATCTGGAGGAAATGCAATGCAATGTGGATTTGAACTGTTGAGAAGGACCCTTGTAAGATGGTTCCCTTACCCCAAAACGTGATGACTGTAAGGAAAATTCCTTTTTTTTTTTTGGTTTTTCAAGACAGGGTTTTTCTGTGGCTCTACTTTTGTGATTTTTTTCAGTGCTTAGGTGGTATTTCTCCATAAATGTATTAACATAGTTACAATGACTTATAAAAATATTGCATCTTTTCTGTGTGTTTCTGTAAGCTAGAGATTTAGTTGCCCTTACCCGTTGTTGCCTGAGAAACCCCTGATCGTGTTGACGTTTTAGATTGTCCTCTACAGAAGGGGAACTCATTGGTCCCCCTCCTTGTTTGTTCACATCCTTCCTTTCTATATCTAATGGCATTAAGGGAATATTTTCTTTTTTGGCTTGAACGAGGGAGACTTTAGAAATGAGCTATAATCATGTACTCCTTACCTAATTTCTGTATGTTTCAGTGCCAGTTCTTGAAAAAAAATAAAAAGAGAGCACAATGGAGAATAGAACAAAAACGTAATTACTATAACACAAAGTAAAATGGAAGTTCTGTATGAACAGAGATAATATTAGGGTGTGAGTTAACTAAGAGTTTTTGGAAAACATTTCTTCTGCAGAAGCCTTAAAATAGAAACCAAGGCCAGGGATCTTGCTCGGTTGGTAAAGTGCTTGCCTTGCAAACATGAGGATCTGAGTTGACCTGCAGAGACTATGTTAAAAAGAGGGAAAGAAAGAAGACGGCACATGGTGGCAAGTGCTCGTAATACCTGTGCTGGGGAGACAGGCGCGTCAGAGCTGCAGTCAGACCAGCCTATGTGGTGAGCTCTAGAGCAACAAGAGACATGTCCCCAAAGTCAAGGTGAGCAGTGCCTGAGGGGCAATATCTGACATGGTTCCCTGGCCTCTGCACGCAGTCAAACAGACAGACAGACAGACAGACAGACAGACGCACGCACACACACACACACACACACGCACGCACACAGACACATGCGCACAGGCACGCAGTTGCATACATACACATGAACAGGAGCATACACTTGCAGGTGCCTCAGCTTTATCCTAAATTTATTTATTGAATTATTTCTACATGGGCACTCTGTACTTTCTCTTTCCTCTCTGGACTGTGGAA